AACTAAGACGGCTGAGGCCCACCGGGAAAAACGACCAGGTCTGAGGAAATAAGGCAGATTATGAAGCCGGTACAGAGCAGATAGATTATTATTATTGAAAACACATAGACTCCAAGAACCTAAAGGCGCGTTCAGACCAAAAGCTTCAAAAAGCTTTTGACGCGCTTCCACTGACGCTGGGATAGTTTTGTCATTTTGGTGCTTGAAGCTTTTGACGCGCCTGACGCCGGTGGGAGGAGCTTCTCTGCTGTAGTCAGGACAGCGGTGGATTTTTCAATGAGCAGCGAGCCTTTATTTGTTATATAAAGCAAAATAACGTTGTTGTAGATGTTTTTTTCTTTGATATTGTTTTGTCCAATAGAAAAAATAAATAACGCCAAGAGATCTTAAACTCAAAACAACTTGAAACCAGTTAAAACAGTTTTACAATTTGTGTCAACTCTGAACAATCAATCAACCTTTATTTATTGTGAAACTAGAAAAGCACTCGCAGAGCACAAACCTCCACCAAGAGGCACACTTCCAGACATTTGGATCAGCTCCAAAGTGAGACATGGCATCACAGACAAACTGCAGTGATGACTTCACCTCTTTTGGACCGAGGTAATTATTACAGAAAGAAATAGGATTCAGACAAAAGTGCTGAGGAAGAAACTTTCTGAAACGGCCTCGCTCACTGACCCGGAAATGTATATCACAACAAAAACACATGAGCTGGAAACACAGACGACTGAAGTGGAATCATAAAACTACAGGAAATAAGTCTGAGGCAGTGGCGACGGCGTTCTGTAGCTTAGGTCCTGGGTCTACAGCCTCAGTCCTCGTTCTACAGTCTGAGTCCTCGTTCTACAGTCTGAGTCCTCGTTCTACAGTCTGAGTCCTGGGTCTGCAGCCTCAGTCCTCGTTCTACAGTCTGAGTCCTGGGTCTACAGCCTCAGTCCTCGTTCTACAGTCTGAGTCCTGGGTCTACAGCCTCAGTCCTCGTTCTACAGTCTGAGTCCTGGGTCTACAGCCTCAGTCCTCGTTCTACAGTCTGAGTCCTGGGTCTACAGCCCGTCCGTCCGTGGGAGAGGATCCGTTTCTCAAACCGTGGGTCTCTGAGGTTTCTCACTTTTTCACACTGGGTTTTTCTTATGAGTGTTTCCTCTGATGCAGGAGTCAGTTGGAGACAGTGTCAGACTAGAAGGACTGTGATGATCCAGGACACTTTAACATTCTACATGTATGACATTTATCAACACGTGTTCTATATTCTTTATGTGTGTTAACTGTTGATTCTCTGATCTGTGGTGATTTAAATGGTTTTGTTAAGTCTCTGAGATGATGCTGTTGTGATTTAGGGAAATACAAGAATAAATTGTTGTTGTTGAAGGAAAACCGAAGTTTGAATCCTTTACAGCTCTGACTGCAGTCGCTGCTCCCTCTTCACCACTACAGTCTGATACAGCTCTGACTGCAGACGCTGCTCCCTCTTTACCACTACAGTCTGATACAGCTCTGACTGCAGACGCTGCTCCCTCTTTACCACAACGGTCTGATACAGCTCTGACTGCAGACGCTGCTCCCTCTTCACTACAGTCTGATACAGCTCTGACTGCAGACGCTGCTCCTTCTTCACTACAGTCTGATACAGCTCTGACTACAGACGCTGCTCCCTCTGATACAGCTCTGACTGCAGACGCTGCTCCCTCTGATACAGCTCTGACTGCAGACGCTGCTCCCTCTGATACAGCTCTCACTGCAGACGCTGCTCCCTCTGATGCAGCTCTGACTGCAGACGCTGCTCCCTCTTCACTACAGTCTGATACAGCTCTGACTGCAGACGCTGCTCCCTCTTCACTACAGTCTGATACAGCTCTGACTGCAGACGCTGCTCCCTCTTCACTGCAGTCTGATACAGCTCTGACTGCAGACGCTGCTCCCTCTTCACTACAACAAATCCTCTATTGGTCCCACAGTGGGGAAATGTCAGTGTTGCACACGCAGTTATAAATGAACAATAACTCTACAGTGAAATCAAACTAAACTAACTTTAGAATCATAAAAACGTTCATCTTTGGTCCAATCAATGGAACTCAAACGGCACCGGAAGCTTCGATATTTGAAATCAATAAAATAAAACCTAACACTTATAGTTTACTGTATTTCTAGTTAGTTCAAAGTGGGGCAGAGACCTTTGAGCGTGAAGGTCATGGGTTCGAGTCCACCACAAGACTTTCTCCACCGATGTCTGCTGTGGTTGTGTCCTTAGGCAAGACACTTTCCCCACATTAGAATGAGTCTGGTGTGTGTGTGAATGGTTGGTGGTGGTGGGAGGGGCTTCTGTCAGTGTGCCCCAGGGCAGCCGTGGCTACAGTAGCAGTTTGTCCTCAGTGTGTTTGAATAATGAGGTGAAGAGTCTATAAGTGTCAGAAAAAGCGCTATAAAAAACGGATGCATTATTATTATTATTATTATTATTATTATAGTCCCAGGGCGAGACGGAGGTCCTGAGCTGTAGAAGGTCTGGTGCTGTGATTGGTCGGTCCTCAGGCTGAAGAGATGTAATGTTCTTAAAGAGAACGTGACCAAACGGCGGCAAAGAAAAGACAAAAATAGAGCAATCAGAGAGAAAAGAGATCAGTTAATGTTACGGCAATTTGATAATGAGCCAAAGAAAATGTCTGTGTGTGAAGTGCTTGCAACGAAGACATGAGAGAGAAGAGAGAGACCAGAGAGAGAGACCAGAGAGAGATACCAGAGAGAGATACCAGAGAGAGAGACCAGAGAGAGACCAGAGAGAGAGACCAGAGAGAGATACCAGAGAGAGATACCAGAGAGAGATACCAGAGAGAGAGACCAGAGAGAGACTAGAAAGAGAGACCAGAGAGAGAGAGACCAGAGAGAGAGACCAGAGAGAGAGAGACCAGAGAGAGAGACCAGAGAGAGACTAGAGAAAGAGACCAGAGAGAGACCAGAGAGAGACTAGAGAGAGACCAGAGAGAGAGACCAGAGAGACCAGAGAGAGACTAGAGAGAGACTAGAGAGAGACCAGAGAGAGAGACCAGAGAGAGACTAGAGAGAGACCAGAGAGAGAGACCAGAGAGAGACCAGAGAGAGAGACCAGAGAGAGACTAGAGAGAGACCAGAGAGAGACTACAGAGAAACCGGACAGACACCTGATCCAGTTGAAACCATCGCACAGACCCCTTCATGGTCCTCGATGACTCATATCCGGTTTGAGAGAAATGACTGTTGCTGCTTTTATAACTGAACAAAGACACTGTGTTTTGTTCTGGTTTCAGAGTCACGTGTGTGCGATTGTTCAGGCTTCTTCCTGTCGTTAACACACACTTAACAAAGCAGGAAGTGGATTCTCTCCTAGATGGAAAATCAATTAGCCGCCGCTCGCACATGGTCCATCAGCGGAAAGTGATTTCTTATTCTTAAATGAAAGGCAGTTACTAAAAGCTGACGCATTAAAGTCACACGCTTGAAATTACAACTGAGCACAATATCAATCTGTCAGACCAGAGAGAGACCGGAGAGAGACCAGAGAGAGACCAGAGAGAGACCAGAGAGAGACCAGAGAGAGACCGGAGAGAGACCAGAGAGAGAGACCAGAGAGAGACCAGAGAGAGACCGGAGAGAGACCAGAGAGAGACCGGAGAGAGAGAGAGACCGGAGAGAGACCAGAGAGAGACCAGAGAGAGACCAGAGAGAGACCAGAGAGACCAGAGAGAGACCAGAGAGAGACCAGAGAGAGACCAGAGAGAGACCAGAGAGAGAGAGACCAGAGAGAGACCAGAGAGAGACCAGAGAGAGACCAGAGAGAGACCAGAGAGAGACCAGAGATAGACCAGAGCGAGACCAGAGAGAGACCAGAGCGAGACCAGAGCGAGACCAGAGAGAGACCAGAGAGAGACCAGAGAGAGACCAGAGATAGACCAGAGATAGACCAGAGAGAGACCAGAGAGAGACCAGAGAGAGACCAGAGAGAGACCAGAGAGAGACCAGAGAGAGACCAGAGAGAGACCAGAGAGAGAGACCAGAGAGAGAGACCAGAGAGAGAGACCAGAGGGAGACCAGAGAGAAACCAGAGAGAGAGACCAGAGAGAGAGATCAGGGAGAGACCAGAGAGAGACCAGAGAGAGACCAGAGAGAGACCAGAGAGAGACCAGAGAGAGACCAGAGAGAGAGACCAGAGAGAGAGAGATCAGGGAGAGACCAGAGAGAGACCAGAGAGAGACCAGAGAGAGACCAGAGAGAAACCAGAGAGAGAGACCAGAGAGAGAGACCAGAGAGAGAGACCAGAGAGAGAGACCAGAGAGAGACCAGAGAGAGACCAGAGAGAGACCAGAGAGAGACCAGAGAGAGGCCAGAGAGAGACCAGAGAGAGGCCAGAGAGAAAATCCCCTCTGGCTTCTTCTGCTCCATCTGAAACATGTTCCCAAATTACAGCAATAATGTAAACAACAATAGTTTAATAAAATGTAAAAGGTGAAGTCATCTTTATTTATATAGCACCTTTCACAGACCAGAGTCACACAGATGTTTTTATATTTGTCTCTCTCCACACACAGAGGCTGCCAACAGGAAGCACAAGCCAGACCGACACAGACACAAGGAGAACATGCAAACTCCACACAGAAAGGCCTGGAGGTGGAATCAAACCCAGGACCTTCTTACCCCCATGTTCAACGATAATACTTTCTTTTCCCTTAGGCGCTGGTTCTATAGTCTGTCAGACTGAACCACAGGGGGCGTGACCAGATCTGTCAGACTGAACCAAAGGGGGCGTGGCCAGATCTGTCAGACTGAACCACAGGGGGGCGTGACCAGATCTGTCAGACTAAACCACAGGGGGGCGTGGCCAGATCTGTCAGACTGAACCACAGGGGGGCGTGACCAGATCTGTCAGACTAAACCACAGGGGGCGTGGCCAGATCTGTCAGACTGAACCACAGGGGGGCGTGGCCAGATCTGTCAGACTGAACCACAGGGGGGCGTGGCCAGATCTGTCAGACTGAACCACAGGGGGGCGTGGCCAGATCTGTCAGACTGAACCACAGGGGGGCGTGGCCAGATCTGTCAGACTGAACCACAGGGGGGGCGTGGCCAGATCTGTCAGACTGAACCACAGGGGGGCGTGGCCAGATCTGTCAGACTGAACCACAGGGGGGCGTGGCCAGATCTGTCAGACTGAACCACAGGGGGGCGTGACCAGATCTGTCAGACTGAACCACAGGGGGGCGTGGCCAGATCTGTCAGACTGAACCACAGGGAGCGTGGCCAGATCTGTCAGACTGAACCACAGGGGGGCGTGGCCAGATCTGTCAGACTGAACCACAGGGGGCGTGGCCAGATCTGTCAGACTGAACCACAGGGGGGCGTGACCAGATCTGTCAGACTAAACCACAGGGGGCGTGGCCAGATCTGTCAGACTGAACCACAGGGGGCGTGGCCAGATCTGTCAGACTGAACCACAGGGGGGCGTGGCCAGATCTGTCAGACTGAACCACAGGGGGGCGTGACCAGATCTGTCAGACTGAACCACAGGGGGGCGTGGCCAGATCTGTCAGACTGAACCACAGGGGGCGTGGCCAGATCTGTCAGACTGAACCACAGGGGGGCGTGGCCAGATCTGTCAGACTGAACCACAGGGGGCGTGACCAGATCTGTCAGACTGAACCACAGGGGGGCGTGGCCAGATCTGTCAGACTGAACCACAGGGGGGCGTGACCAGATCTGTCAGACTAAACCACAGGGGGCGTGGCCAGATCTGTCAGACTGAACCACAGGGGGCGTGGCCAGATCTGTCAGACTGAACCACAGGGGGGCGTGGCCAGATCTGTCAGACTGAACCACAGGGGGGCGTGGCCAGATCTGTCAGACTGAACCACAGGGGGGCGTGGCCAGATCTGTCAGACTGAACCACAGGGGGGCGTGGCCAGATCTGTCAGACTGAACCACAGGGGGGCGTGGCCAGATCTGTCAGACTGAACCACAGGGGGGCGTGGCCAGATCTGTCAGACTGAACCACAGGGGGGCGTGACCAGATCTGTCAGACTGAACCACAGGGGGGCGTGGCCAGATCTGTCAGACTGAACCACAGGGGGGCGTGGCCAGATCTGTCAGACTGAACCACAGGGGGGCGTGACCAGATCTGTCAGACTGAACCACAGGGGGGCGTGGCCAGATCTGTCAGACTGAACCACAGGGGGCGTGGCCAGATCTGTCAGACTGAACCACAGGGGGGCGTGGCCAGATCTGTCAGACTGAACCACAGGGGGGCGTGGCCAGATCTGTCAGACTGAACCACAGGGGGGCGTGGCCAGATCTGTCAGACTGAACCACAGGGGGGCGTGACCAGATCTGTCAGACTGAACCACAGGGGGGCGTGGCCAGATCTGTCAGACTGAACCACAGGGGGCGTGGCCAGATCTGTCAGACTGAACCACAGGGGGGCGTGACCAGATCTGTCAGACTGAACCACAGGGGGGGCGTGGCCAGATCTGTCAGACTGAACCACAGGGGGGCGTGGCCAGATCTGTCAGACTGAACCACAGGGGGGCGTGACCAGATCTGTCAGACTGAACCACAGGGGGGCGTGACCAGATCTGTCAGACTGAACCACAGGGGGCGTGGCCAGATCTGTCAGACTGAACCACAGGGGGGCGTGGCCAGATCTGTCAGACTGAACCACAGGGGGGCGTGGCCAGATCTGTCAGACTGAACCACAGGGGGGCGTGACCAGATCTGTCAGACTGAACCACAGGAGGGCGTGGCCAGATCTGTCAGACTGAACCACAGGGGGCGTGGCCAGATCTGTCAGACTGACCACATTCAGGACCAACGGCCGATCAAAGACACACCATCACCATCTTTTCTACTTTTTTGTCTGATTCCTAAAACCGTCCAAACCTCGTTCTCGTTACAGATAATGAGACTTCTGCTGTTGTCGTCTCTCGTTATCGCAAGGACATCTGCCATATTTACAGGTTTTGTTAAACGGCAGTGTGTGAGATTCTATTTTTACAGTCTTCGTGGTGGATGGTAAAACGCACACACACACGCACACGCACACACACAGCTCATTAGGAGGCACCGTGACGTTAACGAGGAACCAGCCTTGGAGCTAATCAAATGAGAATCTGTCAGTCAAAGTGACAGGAGGCGGCGAGGCCCCGTGTGGCGTCCGTGTGGCGTCCGTGTGGCGTCCGTGTGGCGTCCGTGTGGCGTCCGTGTGGCGTCCGTGTGGCGTCCGTGTGGCGTCCGTGTGGCGTCCGTGTGGCGTCCGTGTGGCGTCCGTGTCTTTAGAGGTTTTCTAAAGACGCCGATCTCTCCAAGAAAAAGTAGAAACATAATCAGATTTTACCGTCTGAAAAAGGCTGTCGGCCAATGCTAAAAGTCCAAAGTTGCTCAAACTTGACTAACCATAACCGACCAAAACAAGATTTCCAACGGGACAAAGCAAAATGATCCAGAAATGTCTCCCTTTAAATGAGAAAATAAAGCCACAGTTTGAGAAATCGGACTAAATGACTTGGTGCCACTGGAGAATCTTGAATTTGATCATTTTTTGCAGTGAAACAACAGCTCCGTGCAGCTTCTACTGCTCCTGATGGATCCCTGATGAGTCCTGCTGATTCTCTACACCAGTGGTTCCCAAAGTGGGGGTCCCGACCCCCCGGGGGGTCGCGGGAACCCCTGGGGGGGTCGCAAGATGATTTCCACACAAACAAAAAAAAAAGATTTTTTTTTTTTGAGCAAATATAAAGCCCTTAAATATTTATTTAGCATTTGATTTGATTCAAAAGGACTACTTGTTAAATTGTGTTTGGAGACTATAATATATTTTAATAACGTTAGTAATTTTGTCCCAGTCATTGCAGCGTCAATCAAAATCATCACGTAACACAGCTCACATCATGCGCAGCGACAAAGCGTGTCCTGCTGTTGTTTGCTAAAACTAAAGGTGTTTGGAGGCTACAAATAAATAATACCTGCTTTAAAATGAAACGTGGTTAATATCCACAACAGAAAAACCCGGAGGGGGAGAAAAGTCACTTGTATCAGGGGCTGATGGTGCGAAGAGAGGGAGAGAGGGCAAAGGAGGGAGGAGGGGGCAGAGGAGGGAGGGAGGACAGCGGTAGAACAGCGCGTTAAAGAGGCCCGGCTTTTTGGAGTCAAAGATAAAGAGGTCCGCACATTAAAAGCGGGTGGCCGGTTTATTCCTTTACTGACAGTAACTTTGGAAAGAGAAGCCGCGGGGATGAACCGCATATAGTAACAGCAGAAAGCGGCCGCCCGCTTTTAATGTGCGGACCTCTTTACCGCTGACTCCGGAAAGCCGGCCCACTTTACCGCGGTAGGAGAACAGTGAGGGCGAGCCGCAAGAAATGCGCTCCACTTCTGCTGAGGAGGGAGCCCACCAAGCCCATCACTGTGTCACTACATGAGTAAAAATATGCAAGCCTCCTTTTTTGGGCTGGACAGTGCAGCTCGGTAGTGGCGTGAGTCTCTAGAAAGCGTTACTCCGTATCAAGGAAATACATGCTCATTTCATGTGACGGAAGGGCTGGGGGGGGGGGGGGGGGGGGGGGGGGGGGGTCGCGGGTTAGCAGGCCATTTATGATGGGGGTCGCGGGCTAAAAACTTTGGGAACCCCTGCTCTACACCACAGACTGTTCATAATGACATGTTACAGTGGCTCAGAGGGCAAACATCACTAATGACACACACACACACACACTTTAGTGGAGCTATATCTAACTGTTGTGTCTCAGTTTGAGCAGATCTGTAACGTTATGAGACTGATGGGTCTGAAACCATCAGTGTTGAGTCTGAAACCATCAGTGATGAGTCTGAAACCATCAGTGATGAGCCTGAAACCATCAGTGATGAGTCTGAAACCATCAGTGATGAGCCTGAAATAGGGCTGGGCGGTATAAACGGTATAAGCGGTATGCGGTATAAATTTGGCCCACGGTAGAGATTTTTGTTATACCGGCATATTGCGATAGGTCATTATGTCATCAAATTGCGCAGGCTCTGACGCCAGCAGAAAGCACCAAAACAAACCGGCATTCAGCAGCATTAGCCTAGCAGACACCACTGGAAACAACAGCACGGCTTTCACACCGTTTTTCTGTCTCTGTATTGGTCACAGCGGCCCCAGCGGAGGTAAATACACACACAGCAATCACAGTTTACATGTCTACCTTTCGGCCAATGAGTGTCAAAGGGGCGTAGGCTCGAAGCGCCATCGTGAGCCGAAATAGATCCATGCTTGTGCCGTGTCCGCATCATCTCAGAAGTTTTGTAAAGTTAGCGTCCGATTCAGACTTCCGCGGTCCATAGATCACGAAAGCTACTTTGTTAAACAAAATTAATTGTGCCAAAATGAGCATTTACATCAATTGTTCAAATCAAATGCGCTGTTTTAATGCAGATAAATCCATTGAATCATCCAGTTCACAGCAAGCGCTTAGGGAGCGTCAACAAATGGCAAGACTAGCTTTGTAAACGAACAATAGCTTTTACTGAAGCCATGCATACGCACTAAACTCTGACACTATAAATAATGACCATGTCTAACTGCTACAGATATTATATAATATATTTTATATTTTTATATTATTTAAAATTGCTTTCACAGTTAATGGTCTTTACTGTAACATACATAAATAATGTATGTTACAGCATTTGTCTCTCACCTGATTTTCAAACTCAAAAAATATATATCAGATTCTAATGTATAGATAAGTAACAATCTTGACTATTTTATGCAAGAACCTGCTAAACCTATATTGAAATTCACACACCAAATTATACCGTGATGTATACCGTCTACCGTCTGTGACCCAAATCATACCGCGATATGAATTTTAGGCCATATCGCCCACCCCTAGCCTGAAACCATCAGTGATGAGCCTGAAACCATCAGTGATGAGCCTGAAACCATCAGTGATGAGCCTGAAACCATCAGTGATGAGCCTGAAACCATCAGTGATGGGTCTGAAACCATCAGTGATGAGCCTGAAACCATCAGTGATGGGTCTGAAACCATCAGTGATGGGTCTGAAACCATCAGTGATGAGCCTGAAACCATCAGTGATGAGCCTGAAACCATCAGTGATGAGCCTGAAACCATCAGTGATGAGCCTGAAACCATCAGTGATGAGCCTGAAACCATCAGTTTCAGGCACCAATAATGAGACACATGTCTCATTATTGTGCTAACAGTGTTTTTCTCCTGATGACAGCCACACACAGGTCCTATAGGCACGACAAGCTAACCACAAGCTAATGACATGCTAACGACAAGCTAATGACGAGCTAAGGACAAGCTAATGACAAGCTAACCACAAGCTAATGACCAGCTAAAGACAGGCTATTGACAAGCTAACAACAGGCTAATGACAAGCTAACGACAAGCTAATGACAAGCTAACCACAAGCTAATGACGAGTTATGGACAAGCTAATGACAAGCTAACGACAGGCTAATGACAAGCTAACGACAAGCTAATGACCAGCTAACGAAAGGCTATTGACAAGCTAACGACAGGCTAATCACATAATAACTGGGAAGATAGAGCAACAACACATCATCATACAGAGCTTTATTGTTTATCGTTGATCCGCATTAGCTTCCACCAAAGTGGTTGCTAATCTTCCCGGGGTCCCAGTTAAAATGAACGTATTACAAAAAAATATAAATTAATTAGTAATAATAATACATTCCAGGAAGAACTCTTTGAATCCGAGTGTCTCAGACTCATTTTCTCTTAAGATTCTTGCTCCAACAGTAAGACCTTTGACCTTTGAGCCCCTGAGCACTCCCAGCCTCTCCTTCTAATCAAAGAGGCAGAGTAGAGGCAGTTTGATGTAAGATGGTGACATTCCCTGAGCACAGGTACCAACCGCCATTATGTATTTATAGACTTTAAATCAGCTCTGATTGTTACAAGTCTCTCCATGGCCTCAGAGTTCATCAGAGGGCTGGGACTCTGAGGAGCACAGGGACTGGACTCCTGCTGGGACTCTGAGGAGCACAGGGACTGGACTCCTGCTGGGACTCTGAGGAGCACAGGGACTGGACTCCTGCTGGGACTCTGAGGAGCACAGGGACTGGACTCCTGCTGGGACTCTGAGGAGCACAGGGACTGGCCTCCTGCTGGGACTCTGAGGAGCACAGGGACTGGACTCCTGCTGGGACTCTGAGGAGCACAGGGACTGGACTCCTGCTGGGACTCTGAGGAGCACAGGGACTGGACTCCTGCTGGGACTCTGAGGAGCACAGGGACTGGACTCCTGCTGGGACTCTGAGGAGCACAGGGACTGGCCTCCTGCTGGGACTCTGAGGAGCACAGGGACTGGCCTCCTGCTGGGACTCTGAGGAGCACAGGGACTGTCCTCCTGCTGGGACTCTGAGGAGCACAGGGACTGGCCTCCTGCTGGGACTCTGAGGAGCACAGGGACTGGCCTCCTGCTGGGACTCTGAGGAGCACAGGGACTGGCCTCCTGCTGGGACTCTGAGGAGCACAGGGACTGGCCTCCTGCTAGGACTCTGAGGAGCACAGGGACTGGCCTCCTGCCTGGAGCTGGTTAGAGCTTTTGTGTTTGACGGCAAGATTGTCCTGGGTTCGATTCCCCGTCCACTGATTATGCGTTGTTGGTGCTCTGGTTTCCCTTACCACTAAAAACACAAGTTGAAGATTTTAGATGTATTTCCTTATTATGCTAAAGCTAGAGATTTATACTAGCTTCTTTATTATGCTAAAGCTAGAGATTTATACTAGCTTCTTTATTATGCTAAAGCTAGAGATTTATACTAGCTTCTTTATTATGCTAAAGCTAGAGATTTATACTAGCTTCTTTATTATGCTAAAGCTAGAGATTTTATATGAAGGATCTCCTACAGTAATTACCACAACACAGTTCAAGCAAAGAATAATAATGAAGGATATTAAACATTTATACTGAAGTTTGTCTAAAGTTGCTCTCAACGACTCTCTGACCTGTCCGTGTATGTGTGTGTGTGTGTGTGTGTGTCTGCGTCCGTGTATGTGTGTGTGTGTGTGTCTGCGTCCGTGTATGTGTGTGTGTCTGCGTCCGTGTATGTGTGTGTGCGTCTGTGTCCGTGTATGTGTGCGTCTGTGTCCGTGTATGTGTGTGTCTGTGTGTGTGTGCGTCCGTGTGCGTCTTTGTCCGTGTATGTGTGTGTGTGCGTCCGTGTATGTGTGTGTGCGTCTGTGTCCGTGTATGTGTGTGTCTGTGTGTGTGTGCGTCCGTGTGCGTCTGTGTCCGTGTATGTGTGTGTGTGCGTCCGTGTGCGTCTGTGTCCGTGTATGTGTGTGTCTGTGTGTGTGTGCGTCCGTGTGCGTCTGTGTCCGTGTATGTGTGTGTGCGTCTGTGTCCGTGTATGTGTGTGTCTGTGTGTGTGTGCGTCCGTGTGCGTCTGTGTCCGTGTATGTGTGTGTGTGCGTCCGTGTATGTGTGTCGGTGTGTCTACAGTCTTCTTGGAGAGTGCAGACGCCTCACCGGCCGCTGACCTCTGACCTCGCACGCCGGCTCCACACTGTTACCTCCTGAGGGTAATTGCTGTGAGATCAGAGCTAATCCAGCGCTCGACAAAATACTCAGGGAAAAAGCACAGAGCCTGGTGCAGGGCCTGCGCGGCACTCTGGGAGAATAGGAATGAGCGTGGACTCCCGAGAGATGCGGACCGGCCTCTCCCTCATCAGCATACAACAGACTAGAGAGAGACCAGAGAGACCAGAGAGAGACCAGAGAGAGAGACCAGAGAGAGACCAGAGAGAGAGAGAGACCAGAGAGAGAGACTAGAGAGAGAGACCAGAGAGAGACCAGAGAGAGACCAGAGAGAGAGAGAGACCAGAGAGAGAGACTAGAGAGAGAGACCAGAGAGAGACCAGAGAGAGAGAGACTAGAGAGACCAGAGAGAGAGACTAGAGAGAGAGACCAGAGAGAGACCAGAGAGAGAGAGACTAGAGAGACCAGAGAGAGAGACTAGAGAGACCAGTGAGGACAAGTCTGAAGGAGGTTCTTAACACATTTCTCAACAACGAGAGAACGATCTACGAGAACCGAGATCCCAGAGACGTACTTTTCTCTGCTCCCAAAAGATTCTCACCTTTACTCACTTTTAATAAGTGCTAAAACTGGTCGTTATAACTGGAAATACAGCACAAAAAAAGACAGTTAAAAGGCTAAGTGCTAACCGCTGTGTTGCTATGGTAACCAGCACTCGCTCTTTTCCGATAGTAAGTAATGTTTATTTATATAGCGCCTTTCACAGACACAGAGAGCTTTACAGTTGTTGTGACATTTGTCTCTCGCTCCCCACAGAGATGGAGCGGGTCGCACAACCGCACACAAGCACTAACCACTGTGCTGGGAATCAAGCTGAATACAGGACCGGTCCAGGACCAGTCCAGGACCAGTCCAGGACCAATCCAGGACCAGTCCAGGACCAGTCCAGGACCAATCCAGGACCAGTCCAGGACCAATCCAGGACCAATCCAGGACCAATCCAGGACCAATCCAGGACCAATCCACAGCTTTCGTGCTGCAGACCGGACAGATCTGGCAGCGGAGAACAGAACCAAGGCCCAAACAATGTTAGTTTTTTCTCCATTTTGAATTCTTCTAGAGCACTTTGAACTCCATCCAATCTTTGCAAACCAAATCGTCATAGCAACAGCAAAAAAAAAAAAACAGAAGAATTTAAAATTAGATATTTTTCTAATCTATATCTGGAAGCATCAAGCAAAGAAGTGACACATCGCATTACACAGAAACTATGCTAATCCATATTTACATTAGAAAAAAACCAATAAGGAATAGTGTGTGTGTGTGTGTGTGTGTGTGTGTGTGTGTGTGTGTGTGTGTGTGTGTGTGTGTGTGTGTGTGTGTGTGTGTGTGTGTGTGTGTGTGTGTGTGTGTGTGTGTGTGTGTGTGTGTGTGTGTGTGTGTGTGTGTGTGTGTGTGTGTGTGTGTGTGTGTGTGTGTGTGTGTGTGTGATTTCTCTAGTCCAGGTAACACTTGTATAAATCAGGTTTTTTCATATTTTTGACCATATTCTTGTCATTTCCGCTGGTCATTTACACTCTCTAAAGTAAGTCATTTTTCAGATCTGTGGCTGTGAGAGCATTGTTTCCGTCTGTCGTCATGAATCAGAAGCAGAAGTTAAAGATGAAGTCTGTCGTCATGAATCAGAAGCAGAAGTTAAAGAGGAAGTCTATCGTCATGAATCAGAAGCTGAAGTTAAAGATGAAGTCTGTCGTCCTGAAGCAGAAGCAGAAGTTAAAGATGAAGTCTGTCGTCCTGAAGCAGAAGCAGAAGTTAAAGATGAAGTCTGTCGTCCTGAAGCAGAAGTTAAAGATGAAGTCTGTCGTCCTGAAGCAGAAGTTAAAGATGAAGTCTGTCGTCATGAATCAGAAGTTAAAGATGAAGTCTGTCGTCATGAAGCAGAAGTTAAAGATGAAGTCTTGTCATGAAGCAGAAGTTAAAGATGAAGTCTGTCGTCATGAAGCAGAAGTTAAAGATGAAGTCTGTCGTCATGAAGCAGAAGTTAAAGATGAAGTCTGTCGTCATGAAGCAGAAGTTAAAGATGAAGTCTGTCGTCATGAAGCAGAAGTTAAAGATGAAGTCTGTCGTCATGAAGCAGAAGTTAAAGATGAAGTCTGTCGTCATGAAGCAGAAGTTAAAGATGAAGTCTGTCGTCATGAAGCAGAAGTTAAAGATGAAGTCTGTCGTCATGAAGCAGAAGTTAAAGATGAAGTCTGTCGTCATGAAGCAGAAGTTAAAGATGAAGTCTGTCGTCATGAAGCAGAAGTTAAAGATGAAGTCTGTCGTCATGAAGCAGAAGTTAAAGATGAAGTCTGTTGTCATGAAGCAGAAGTTAAAGATGAAGTCTGTTGTCATGAAGCAGAAGTTAAAGATGAAGTCTGTCGTCATGAATCAGAAGTTAAAGATGAAGTCTGTCGTCATGAAGCAGAAGTTAAAGATGAAGTCTGTTGTCATGAAGCAGAAGTTAAAGATGAAGTCTGTCGTCATGAATCGGAAGTTAAAGATGAAGTCTGTCGTCATGAAGCAGAAGTTAAAGATGAAGTCTGTCGTCATGAATCGGAAGTTAAAGATGAAGTCTGTCGTCATGAAGCAGAAGTTAAAGATGAAGTCTGTCGTCCTGAAGCAGAAGCAGAAGTTAAAGATGAAGTCTGTCGTCATGAAGCAGAAGTTAAAGATGAAGTCTGTCGTCATGAATCGGAAGTTAAAGATGAAGTCTGTCGTCATGAAGCAGAAGTTAAAGATGAAGTCTGTCGTCATGAAGCAGAAGTTAAAGATGAAGTCTGTCGTCATGAAGCAGAAGTTAAAGATGAAGTCTGTCGTCATGAAGCAGAAGTTAAAGATGAAGTCTGTCGTCATGAAGCAGAAGTTAAAGATGAAGTCTGTCATCATGAAGCAGAAGTTAAAGATGAAGTCTGTCATCATGAATCAGAAGCAGAAGTTAAAGATAAAGTCTGTCGTCATGAATCAGAAGCAGAAGTTAAAGATGAAGTCTGTCGTCATGAAGCAGAAGTTAAAGATGAAGTCTGTCGTCATGAAGCAGAAGTTAAAGATGAAGTCTGTCGTCATGAAGCAGAAGTTAAAGATGAAGTCTGTTGTCATGAAGCAGAAGTTAAAGATGAAGTCTGTCGTCATGAAGCAGAAGTTAAAGATGAAGTCTGTCGTCATGAAGCAGAAGTTAAAGATGAAGTCTGTCGTCATGAAGCAGAAGTTAAAGATGAAGTCTGTCGTCATGAAGCAGAAGTTAAAGATGAAGTCTTTCGTCATGAAGCAGAAGTTAAAGATGAAGTCTGTCGTCATGAAGCAGAAGTTAAAGATGAAGTCTGTTGTCATGAAGCAGAAGTTAAAGATGAAGTCTGTTGTCATGAAGCAGAAGTTAAAGATGAAGTCTGTCGTCATGAATCAGAAGTTAAAGATGAAGTCTGTCGTCATGAAGCAGAAGTTAAAGATGAAGTCTGTTGTCATGAAGCAGAAGTTAAAGATGAAGTCTGTCGTCATGAATCGGAAGTTAAAGATGAAGTCTGTCGTCATGAAGCAGAAGTTAAAGATGAAGTCTGTCGTCATGAATCGGAAGTTAAAGATGAAGTCTGTCGTCATGAAGCAGAAGTTAAAGATGAAGTCTGTCGTCCTGAAGCAGAAGCAGAAGTTAAAGATGAAGTCTGTCGTCATGAAGCAGAAGTTAAAGATGAAGTCTGTCGTCATGAATCGGAAGTTAAAGATGAAGTCTGTCGTCATGAAGCAGAAGTTAAAGATGAAGTCTGTCGTCATGAAGCAGAAGTTAAAGATGAAGTCTGTCGTCATGAAGCAGAAGTTAAAGATGAAGTCTGTCGTCATGAAGCAGAAGTTAAAGATGAAGTCTGTCGTCATGAAGCAGAAGTTAAAGATGAAGTCTGTCATCATGAAGCAGAAGTTAAAGATGAAGTCTGTCATCATGAATCAGAAGCAGAAGTTAAAGATAAAGTCTGTCGTCATGAATCAGAAGCAGAAGTTAAAGATGAAGTCTGTCGTCATGAAGCAGAAGTTAAAGATGAAGTCTGTCGTCATGAATCAGAAGCAGAAGTTAAAGATAAAGTCTGTCGTCATGAATCAGAAGCAGAAGTTAAAGATGAAGTCTGTCGTCCTGAAGCAGAAGTTAAAGATGAAGTCTGTCGTCCTGAAGCAGAAGTTAAAGATGAAGTCTGTCGTCATGAAGCAGAAGTTAAAGATGAAGTCTGTCGTCATGAAGCAGAAGTTAAAGATGAAGTCTGTCATCATGAATCAGAAGCAGAAGTTAAAGATGAAGTCTGTCGTCATGAATCAGAAGCAGAAGTTAAAGATGAAGTCTGTCGTCCTGAAGCAGAAGTTAAAGATGAAGTCTGTCGTCATGAAGCAGAAGTTAAAGATGAAGTCTGTCGTCATGAAGCAGAAGTTAAAGATGAAGTCTGTCGTCATGAAGCAGAAGTTAAAGATGAAGTCTGTCGTCATGAAGCAGAAGTTAAAGATGAAGTCTGTCATCATGAAGCAGAAGTTAAAGATGAAGTCTGTCATCATGAATCAGAAGCAGAAGTTAAAGATAAAGTCTGTCGTCATGAATCAGAAGCAGAAGTTAAAGATGAAGTCTGTCGTCATGAAGCAGAAGTTAAAGATGAAGTCTGTCGTCATGAATCAGAAGCAGAAGTTAAAGATAAAGTCTGTCGTCATGAATCAGAAGCAGAAGTTAAAAGATGAAGTCTGTCGTCCTGAAGCAGAAGTTAAAGATGAAGTCTGTCGTCCTGAAGCAGAAGTTAAAGATGAAGTCTGTCGTCATGAAGCAGAAGTTAAAGATGAAGTCTGTCGTCATGAAGCAGAAGTTAAAGATGAAGTCTGTCATCATGAATCAGAAGCAGAAGTTAAAGATGAAGTCTGTCGTCATGAATCAGAAGCAGAAGTTAAAGATGAAGTCTGTCGTCCTGAAGCAGAAGTTAAAGATGAAGTCTGTCGTCATGAAGCAGAAGTTAAAGATGAAGTCTGTCATCATGAATCAGAAGCAGAAGTTAAAGATGAAGTCTGTCATCATGAATCAGAAGCAGAAGTTAAAGATGAAGTCTGTCATCATGAATCAGAAGCAGAAGTTAAAGATGAAGTCTGTCATCATGAATCAGAAGCAGAAGTTAAAGATGAAGTCTGTCGTCATGAAGCAGAAGTTAAAGATGACGGAGCACAGAAACCAGAGCTCAGTAATCAGACCAACAGACTCAGGGAAATGTGAGAGTTTGAAAAAAGCCTTTTACAGAGAAATGAAAGCACAAGGACAGCAGCTCAGGAAGAAGGAGGTGTAGAAAGAAGAATCGCCTGTTGCTGCGATAGTTTCGAGCCGAGTGAGTACCGAGCGTTACGGGAGAATCAAACCCAGAACCTGCTCGCTGTGAAACTCAAGTGCTAACCTCAATAATCACCTTAGAGTTTAGTATTGGATATACAGCCTCAAATCTAAATATCACTAGCGGCAGTTACTGTCCCCGGTTTGGCCAGTAGAGGTCACTGTTACAGCGCAGTGTGGTCGGGAGGAGTCAGGTGCTGCACGGGAGGCGTTACCGTGGCAACGACTTTAGAGACGTTGGATGCTGCGCTGAGAAGATGAATCAAGAAACGAAAAAATGGAGATGAAAGCTGATTATTTATTGCAAAAATGATCTTGATGCCAATAACTAATGCATTATATCCAATAAAGGCGGGTCCCGGCCCTAAAAGTGGCCAAAACGACGTGCGCTGACATACTGCAATACCACCCCGGGCCTGTGGGGGTGGACCCGGAAGGATAATTATTCAATGCTAACATATATCATTAGCTGACTTCTCGAAAACGTCTTTACAGGATGGACCAAAAGTGTCTCTTGGCCCAAAGCTCCGTTCCACATGTGTGTCAATGCTGAGTGTTCTGGACCAGTCTAGTTTAGCTGCTGTGGACTGTTGAAGGCACTTGTTAAATGAACGGGGCTCGTGCAGCTGACACATGCGCAAATACGTGTTTTCACATTTTCCAGCCCCCGCGGCCATTTTGAAACTGCCCATAGACCGAAGTCCGTTAACATTTACAGTCTATGATTATTTATGATTTCTGTAGATCTGGTGTTGGTGGAAAGGTACATAAGACTGTCAGAGCTGCGTATGTGAAGCCATATGTAATGCTTTTATCGTTTATGAAGTGTATGTGTGTGCAGAGGGGAGAAGGACTGGATTTGGTTTCGGCTTTGGTCCAACTGAGAGTGCACATTATATAAACAGTGATATCGTCATTTCCATTCTTCAAATCAGCATTTTTCATACAATTCTTTTTGGGTGTGAGGGTTTGTTTAAAAATACAGACGGCTGGGTCGGAAAGGCCTTTTTCAGAGGTTTTTAATTAAACACTCTCAGTAGAAAAAACAGTGGGAAATGTACAAAAACGTCTTTACAGAGCACAGTGAAAAGTCTAAAGGCGAAAAGGATATTTACAAATAAAAATATAAGCAACTTCAACACTAAGTCTTTTCCCTCAGCTTTCACTCTTGCTCCTGCCGTTCACGTTACCTTCACCGAGTCTTCACCGCCGTGGGGCCGACAAGCACACCTTAGGTACCCTGCTGGCCCCTCCCACATTACAAATCAATCCTAATTTTCCACCATATCTACGATACATGAGCCTTTCCCTTAGGTTCATGATTACATAGATTTGCACTTGGGTACATTCACACAATACAATACATACACCGTCCTTATACTAGAAATAGTCAATGAATGGGTTTGGGCAAGACGCTTTACCCTATAAGGAAGTAACAGCTGCATGGCCACAAACCTCAGGCTCCTAATCAAGGGATAGTTCCAGCTAGTCCTATAACAGAACCATTTGTTTTTAACTCCACTTCTGTTGTATTTTTTTAAGAGGGAAGTGTCTAAATGTTTGTGTGTCTAAAATGGAAATGAAAGAACCACACACATTCTGGAAGCCGTTTGTCTGTGGTACAGTATTTTCCTGATTCAGATTAACACTAACGGCCATCATCTAGCTACATATCTATCTTGTGTTGTCTTTTGTCTCTTTGGTCTTGATCTGCCGTCGTCACATGATGCAGAAACAAACACACCCTGAATCCACCAGAGGCTAAAGCCGTCAGTAAAATACACTTTACGGAAACTCTTTGCTTCCTTGAGATTCCAGCCCCCTTCTCAGCTGCCTCGGTGCCTTCAAACACCCCCCCCCCCCCCCCTGTAAACGCCCCCCACTGGGTGACAGGTTGGAATAGCAGATCACAGTCACAGAAGAAGAAAGCTTAGTCCCGTTCTGCTCCTCTTTGCTCCTCTCTTGTTCTTTCTGCCTTATCGTTCTCTAACCTCACGTCTGCTCTAGTCACATGGCTCTTTGTTCCGTCCTCTGGTTTGTTTTTAAGACGGTGGTGCTTTATCAAAGTCTGGGAGATATGTGAGTAATATGGAAAAAAACGCTTCAAAACTTTATGTGCCACTTCAAAAGAAACTGTTTAAAAGCCACAATATGACGTACAGGCAGAGATTAGCCCAACACGAGACTCCCACTGATGTCTGCTGTGGTTGTGTCCTTGGGCAAGACACTTAACCCCACTTTGCCTGAAGCCCCCACATAAAAATCAAGGCAGCTCAGACTAGAGCGGCCAACCCAGAGATGGATTAAAGGGAAGAAAATGGATGGATGGTTGGCAGGAGTGAATAGAGTCATAATTAAGTCCATCTAAAATCTAGCCTGAGTTTCTATCTTTGCTCAGAATACCTACATCATACAATATCAAATGCATCCATCTTCTTCCCCTTCATCCATTTCTGGGTCGGGGGTGGCAGTCAGAGCTGTACCAAATTCCCCCGTCCAGGTCTGCAAATTTGTTGTTGTGAGCTATACGGCACTGGTTACCTGTAAGAATGCTTTTTGTTCTGTCCCTGTCTAATAATAACATATAATAAGAATAATCAGACTAATTATAATTACAGAGCACCAGCTCCTGATCCTCCTGCAGGTGCCGAGTCCACAGGAGGCCGCTCTGTCAATGAGAGCACGGCCTTGGACCTTGCAGCGGGGGCTCCAGGCAAAGTGAGGTTAAGTGTCTCGCCAATGACAGAAGACAAGCGCAATCAGAGAAAACCTTCGAGCAGCACCTGTGAGTTTTAAGGCCGTAAAACCCACACTTTTGTTGTCATTGGTCTATAAGCAGCCTTGGGCAAGACACTTAACCCCACTTTGCCTGAAGCTCCCACTGAAAGATCTCAGCTCCTGTGGACTCACCACCTGCAGGAGGATCAGTGAGGGGCTGGTGCTCTGGACTGGGTGCAGCTCTGACTGCCACCCCCCCGACCCAGAAATGGATTAAGGGGAAGAAAATGGATGGATGGATCCTTATATATCTCAGATCATCAGATTATAGGACATGATCAGATAAATGTTGCTAAATTCAGCCAAAATGTGACGTCCATCAGAGGCACAACATAATGGAACACTTTGCCGGAACACATGTGAAACTGTGGGACCTACATAACATTTAAAGGAGTCCTCAGACATCGGCTGAAATCAAAACAGTCATGTTCCCAGAGATCTGCTCTTCCTTGGACTTTCTCTTCTAAATTCTTTATATTGTGCTTGTCGATATATTGTTTGTACTTTTACCTACCTGTGTTTGTGTGACTCTTACCTGCCTTACGACAAAGGATGCAATTTAGCTAACGTGCTAATTCCAGGATATTTATGTAGACGCTGTTTGCAGACACATTGATGACTATGTACTGAAATGATCATCGTCCTTAGACTCAGGACAAGCATCGACAAGAAACTACTCAAAGGACTAAACTTGATTTTGATTGACGTCGTCGTAATCTAAAAAAAATCAGGGACAAAAATCACAAATGTTATAAAAAAAATGAAAAGCAGACTCTTCTCCAGACACAATTTAACAAGTGTCAAATTGAGTCAAATCAATTGCAAGAAAACAAGATTGAAGGGCTATACGTTTGTTATTGAAATCATCTCGCGACCCCCACTTTGGGAACCACTGCTCTACTGCAATCACCACCCCTTTTGTCTGGTTCTGATTCTACTGCATCTACTACTGCTTTCATTTCCTCCATGTGTTTTAATTCTTATTGATTTACTTCATCATCAGTCCCATCTTCTCCGACACAGTGTCTTGTTAAATGAGGCTCCTGGTCCTGACTATGTCCCGCACTGAGCAGAGGAGAGTTTGGACACTGCCAATCGCATTTATTCTCATTGACTCAGGCCCGGGAGTTGACCCACGCAGCAGCACATAGATCTGAACACTGCAAACAAGTGCGAAAAACAAATCCTTTATCAAAAGCAAAGCCCGAGCCAGTAACTACGCAAAGGTTTCCTCAGGTCATAGCTACGGCTGCTGCCTTCTGCACATTCAGAGTCTCACTGCGAGCTCTCATTTCCATAACGACTGCAGTCAGAGAAGAACTGATGCGTCCAGAAGAGAGAAGCCGATTCTCCGAGTTACAGTCGCGATCTACAGTCATCTACAAACGATGCTTCTGTCATCAATGCAAGAGAGAGACCGATTTAACTGTCAATCAGGCAATCAAATATTACCTTGTAGAGCACATTTAAAACAGCCAAGGCTAACAAAAGTCCTGCACAGACGGAAAAAGATAAGATACGAAAGTCCATTGTTCGTCCCACGGTCAAGAAAAGTCATGACCGAAGAACAAAAAGGGGACGAAAGAGCACTTAGATTGGACACATCAGACATGATCTATCATGTAGGGTAATAGATAATACAATTGAATCAAAAACTAAGTAATAATAAAAGATAATAAAGTAAACCTCTGGAACTATAATTGTGAGGAAAAAAACATAATAAAAACACATACAAATACAGAAATATATATACACATAAACCGAAAACGTGTCTTTCTACCAGGTGTTAAAAGCCAAAGAGAAAAAGTATGAATTATAATTGTGTAGCAGCTTATTGTCCAGCAAATACAGTAATCGATTAAACAAAGGTACAAACTTTAGATCAGGCAAGTCAACATTCGATTCAAGGGCCAGATCTGGCTCGGGGGACTAATCCGGCTCGAGGGACTAATCCGGCTCGAGGGACGAGTCCGGCTCGAGGGACAAATCTGGCTCAATGGCCTAATCCGGCGCAAGAGCCTAATCCGGCGCAAGGGACTTTTCCGGTTCAAGGGCCTAATCCGGTTCAAGGGCCTAATCCGGTTCAAGGGCCTAATCCGGTTCGAGGGCCTAATCCGGTTCAAGGGCCTAATATGGTTTGAGGGACAAATCTGGCTGAAGGGATTAATCCGGCTCGAAAGA